TTACACCGGCCATCATTAGGAAATTTTGATGTTTAGGGATTTAGGGATTCAGATACTCACAATCAAACTGCAAAGGGGATCATTAAAAATTTTTAATCATAACCTTTTGTGAAATTAAGGAATACAAAAACGTGTGTTGGGGTAACAGTGGATGGGTTATACTGAGAGGTGAGTGTTCCCAGGACTGAGGTTGATGGGAAGAAAAACGAAACATTACAGAAACTTTGGCTGCATGTGTCTTGCCAAAAACAGTACATGGTTGCATTGCTTTCTCCCTATAGAATGCCTTCTCTAGTCAGAATTTTCCACTTTAGATTTTACATTATTTTATTTTTCCAAATTATAGAAATATGTAAGGAAAGAATAAAAATCTTACCCTTTCTTTCATTGCCACCTCCACACCACTAGGGGAGGGGAGAAGAGAGAGAGTGGAATAGAGAGAGAAAGAGAAGAAAGAAGAGAGAAAGAGAGACAGAGATTCATCCATGGATATACTTGCATGTACTGTATGCAGCTTTAATTCTTTTTTAACTAATACATAATACTTGTAAAACTTGGGTATACTAGAGTGAAATAAATATTCCATTGATGAACATATAGATCATCTATTATTTGATAGCTATTATTAATAGCAGTACAATGAATAATTTTAAATTTTTGAATTTTGAATTTTGATCATAATTCTTTAGATATTTACTGAGTATTTGGAAAGAACAGAGGTCTGAGAGTGAGATTTCTGAGACAAATGTTGACAGATTTTTTTCTTCCCATGAACAAAATACATGGCTTAACTACCGTTAAGATCTTGTATGTATTTCCCTGTGCTATACAGTATAATCCTGTTTATCTGTTCTACAATTTTGAAATCCCAGTCTATCCTTTCCCACCCTCTGCCCCCTTGGCAACCACAAGTTTGTATTCTATGTCTATGAGTCTATTTCTGTTTTGTATTTATGCTTTGTTTGTGTCTTTTTTTTTTTTTTTTTAGATTCCACATATGAGCAATCTCATATGGTATTTTTCTTTCTCTTTCTGGCTTACTTCACTTAGAATGACATTCTCCAAGAACGTCCGTGTTGCTGCAGATGGCGTTATGTTGTTGGTTTTTATGGCTGAATAGTATTCCATTATATAAATTTACCATATCTTTATCCAGTCATCTGTCAATGGACATTTAGGCTATTTCCATGTCTTGGCTATTGTAAATAGTGCTGCTATGAACATTGGGGTGCAGGTATCTTTTTGAAGTAGGATTCCTTATGGATATATGCCCAGGAATGGGATTACTGGGTCATATGGTAAGTCTATTCCTAGTCTTTTGAGGAATCTCCATACTTTCTCCACAGTGGCTGCATCAAACAGTATTCCCACCAACAGTGTAGGAGGGTTCCCTTTTCTCCACAGCCTCTCCAGTATTTGTCATTAGTGGACTTCTGAATGATGGCCATTCCGGCTGGTGTGAGGTGATACCTCATTGTAGTTTTGATTTGCATTTCTCTGATAATTAGTGATATTAAGCATTTTTTCATATGCCTATTGATACACCATTTGCAGCAACATGCATGTCCCTGGAGAATGTCATTGTAAGTGAAGTAAACCAGAAAGAGAAAGAAAAATACCATATGAGATCGCTCATATGTGGAATCTAAAAACAAACAAACAAAAAAGAACATAAATACAAAACAGAAACAGACTCATAGACATAGAATACAAACCTGTGGTTGCCGAGAGGGAGAGGAGTGGGAAGGGACAGACTGGGAGTTTGAAATTTGTAGATACTGACAGGTGTATGTAGAATAGATAAACAAGATTATACTGTATAGCATGGGGAAATATATACAAGATTATACTGTATAGCATGGGGAAAGATCTGGTGGTAGCTCACAGCGAAAAAAGAATGTGACAATGAATGTATGTTCATGTATAACTGAAAAATTGTGCTCTACAGTGGAAATTGACACAACATTGTAAACTGACTGTAACTAAGTTAAAAAAACAATATATATGGCATTATTTCACACTGTTTCTAACACTGGATAATATCAAACTTTACCGTTATTTAATTTTAATTTTGAATATGTTACAGGTACAAATAATAGCTTGTTCTCTTAATTAGCATTTCCCTCATAGTAGTGTGAATAAACTTTTTTTAGGAATTCACTGGGTACATACTTTTTCTTCTGAAATGTCATGTTTGTTTTGTCACTTTACTTTTTTTTTTATTATGTCTTCATTATTAATATACTGTTCTCCAGGCTTCAAGAATATTATGCAATGCAAATATTTGAAATATTTATTCCTAGCCTAAATTTATAATTGAATTTTTACTTACATAAACTTCCAACCAGAGGGAAACCTAGCAAATTAACAGTACCTCAGGAGGCTTCCTTATGTCACCCTCTCAGTCAAAAACCCTCAAACTCTTTTATGACTTCTATCACCTTTGATTAATTTTGTCTGTTTAAACTTTATATAAGTGGAATTATATAACATCTCTATATATGTTTGATTATTTTGATTTGACACGATGTCTGTGAAATTTATCTCAGTTATTAGGTTTACCAGTGTTTGTACATTTTTATTGCCAGTGAGCTGTATTATTGCTTCCATTGTATGAGCATACCATAACTTACTTACATATTACACTGTTGTTGGACATGTGGTTGGTTTCTCAGTTTGGTCAGATACAAGTAAAACTGTTGTGAACATTGCTGTATGTGTTTTTGGATTAAGGTAATGCTCATTGCTGTTGAATGTACATTAAGAGTTAAACTTTTCAATCCAAGGACAGATGTATGTTTAATTTGGTAAGAAACTGTCAAACATTTTTCAGTTATTATTATACTAATTTACATCTCATCAGCATTGTAAGAGACTTTTTAGTGCTCCACATCCTCTTCAACACTTGTTATCCATCTCTAAAAAAAAAATTACCCATTATGCTGTGTGTGTAATGGTATCTATGGTTTAACTTGCATATTTTTGATAAATAATCTGAACATTTTTTCATATGTTTATTGGCTATTTGGAAGTCTCTTTCATGAAGTGCCCATTCCAGTTATTTGCTCAATTGTTAATTGGGTTATGTGCATTTTCTTTTTGACTTATACAAATTATTTGTGTAATGTATAAACAAATTCTTTGTTGGATATACATACTACAATGGTCTAATCCTATCAGTGGCTTACTTTTTCACTTTCTTAATGGTGTCTAGGAGACAAAAGCTCTTTTATTTAATGTTTCAAATTAAACTTAATTTTTTTATTGAAGTATAGTTGATTTATAATGTATTAATTTCTGGTGTACAGTATACTGGTTCATTTATACATATATATACATATATATTCCTTTTCATATTGTTTTTCATTATAGGCCATTACAAGGTATTCAGTATATCTCCCTGTACTATCCAGGACCTTACTGTTAATCTATTATACAGAGTAGTTTGTATCTGAAAATCCCGAACTCCCAATTTATCCTTTCCCACCCCCACACCCCCCTAGTAACCATAAGTTTATTTTCTATGTCTACAAGTCTGTTTCTGTTTTGTAGATAAGTTCATTTGTGTCATTTTTTAAGACTCCACATATAAATAATATTATACAGTACTTGTCTTTGTCTGACTTACTTAGCTTAATATGATAATCTCTAAGTCCATCCATGTTGCTTCAAATGACACTATTTCATTCCTTTTTATGGCTGAGTAGTATTCCATTATGTATATATGTGCATATATATGTACATATAATGTGTATATTTATATTTATATTTACCACAACTTCTTTATCCAGTAATCTGTTGGTGGACATTTAGGATGCTTTCTTGTCTTGGCTATTGTAAATAGTGCTGCTATGAACATTAGGGTGCATGTGTCTTTTTGAAATAGAGTTTCCTCTGAGTATATGCCCAGGAGTGGGATTGCTGGATCATGGGGTACGTTTATTTTCAGTTTTTTAAGGAATCTCCAGTTTTCCATAATGACTGTACCAAACTACATTCCCATCATCTTAACCTGATCATATTCTATTATTTGGAAATATTCTACTCTATCTTGTGGATTAATACTATATTTAGAATCTTTGTAACTCTGGTTATCATACCTAAAGGCTCAACAATTAGGAAGTCACTATGTAAAATATTGTGTGTCCATATAATAATAATGCTATAGTATGGAACCATTAAAATATGTTACCAAAGTGGCTAACTACATAGGAAATTTTTATAAATGCCTTTCCTATTTAAAAATATTTTACTCATAGCTAAAGAATGCATCTCTCAATGTGGTGTTAGTTGTGAGCTTGGGGTGGGGCACCCAAGGTGGAATTAACACATGGAAAGGAGTCTTTCTGACAGTTAAGTACACAGGCTTCTAATCTCTATGCTAACCTTTATTCTAGAGACTTTTCTTCACATGTGGAACCAAGTCTTGTTGCCAGAATTACAACTTTCCCTTTGTCACTAGAGATAAATTTACTTTCAATCATAGCTAAAACAGCAAATTTTGCCTGCCAAAATAATTTTGTTTCTGTTTCCCTCATTATTCTAAACAAAAAAATCCTTGAGTTAGAATTTTAAAAGTGTAAGAATCTGAAACATATTCCAGCATGATGAATACAGAGCAAAATAGAAAACCAGATTTAATAGTACCACAGTCTTTTGAGTGCCCTCTCTAGAGAGCCACTCCCCAAAGATGGCCTTTATAGATACTAAAAGAGCACAATATTTAAATTGTTCATTTGATTCTATCTAGCCTATGAGACCATGATTCTCTTTGCCACCATCACATTGCATTTACGGTTTATATAAAAAGAAAGTTACAGAGGGCAAACCTGAGGAGTGTCCATGACTGATTTCTTGATCCTATAATATTCTTGCTCCTAAAAGACTCCTCAGCAGTTCATGTGAATTCCCACAGTAATGTTTGGAACACTATTATATTCGGGTTTTCTGAGATCTGAGAAAACTGTCCTATTTGGTTTTTCTGTACTCTGATGCAGAAAATGGCATTTAACCATACAGCATTCTCTGATATTCACCTTGTATCTTCAGGTAGGGTAAAGCTCACAGGATTCCAAGCTCTGCTATTTCTTCCTTCCACCCCTCTCTAGTTTTATATTCTGTCACTTAATGTGTGAATTGTAACTGGATTACTTCTTCAGAATCAAAGCCAAGATTTTATGTGAGAATTTATGAAAAATGTTACTTCAGAAATTTGCTAAAACTCTTAAAGTGTCTTGCCAGTGGCTCCTTTTTATTTCCACACTACATGAGGGAGTTCTGATCCTAAAACAGGGAAAATTCCAGAAAATGAATGTGGATACACTTTCCTTCAATGAAACTTCAAGAAATATAGTGCCTACCTCCTGTTACTTTTTATTACTTTTAGCAAGTAGAAAACAAGGAAATCTATTTGTACTTGAGATTGTGTAATGTGAAGACAGGCTCTGTGAGCAAATCTGTATTTGACGTATTTTAATAATTGATGCCATTGATGCCTATTTGACTTTAATGTATATTTTCAAGAGTGTATTTTTACTGAAGGGAGGAATTGAAATGTAAAATCTAATGCATTTGCATTTTAATATTGATTTATAATCTATTCTAAAAATATACAGAAATATTTTCCATAACCTATCACAATAAAACTAAAATAAATTAAGTTGTATAAAGTATTTAAATCTGTTGATATTGCCCTCAATTCAGCTTGCACATTTCTCACACAAATAGAACGAAGATTACTGAATATCATTATCTTTAATATCTTTGTAACTCATAAACACTGGGTTATCAAGGCTGTATTTTTTCAGTCTTTTTTATTCACTGTTTGACCTAAAATTGTAGGTCCTTATATATATTTGCTTATTGTCAATGCCAACTAACTTTGCTTGTGAGCAGCAGACAATCAGGAGAGTTGTCGGTTCACTTTGTATTTATTACATCCAGAATAGGAATATGAATACTGCAAAATCATGGAAAAATCTCTGCATGAGTCATAGTATTTTATTATTTACAGTCAGGAAGAGTGATGTTGCCCTAAGCAAGGCATCTTCCCTAATGAGTAATACTATGAAAGGCCATTTCTAATATGGAAATCTGCCTTTTTTTTTTGCAGCTTTGAAAACAAATAAATATTCCCATGTAAAGAATTGCTCTACATCTGTGAGTAGATTCATCCTTTTAGGCTTCCCTTGTACCTGGGAAATTCAGATCCTCCTTTTTTCAGTCTTTTTTGGGACATATATTCTGACAGTCATTGGAAATCTGTGCATTATCTGTGTTGTGAGGTGGGACCATCGACTACAGACTCCAATGTGCATCTTGCTGGCCAATTTTCCCTTCCTGGAAATCTGGTTTACCACCTCCACTGTCCCTAATATGCTAGCCACCCTTCTCTCTGACACCAGCACCATCTCCTTCTCAGGCTGCTTCCTCCAGTTCTACTTCTTCTTCTCCACAGGCACCACTGAGACCTTCTTCTTGTCTGCCATGGCCTTTGACAGGTACCTTGCTATCTACGGGCCCCTGTGCTACCCCACTGTCAAGACAGTTCAGCGCTGCATCAGAATGGGAGCCTGCTGCTGGACGTGTGGCTTCTTGTACTTCCCCTTGCCTGTTTACCTAATCTCTCAGCTCCCATTCTGTTGTCTCAATAAGATTGATCACTTCTTATGTGACCCAGGACCCCTTATAAAGCTGTCCTGGGTGCCAGCTCCTGTTACTGAGATCATCTGTGCCACCTATAATTCAGTTCTCATCTTCTCCACCTTAATCTTCATTACCAGCTCCTACACCCTGGTAATCAGGGCTGTGCTTAGGGTCCCCTCAGCAGAAGGCCGGCGTAAGGCTTTCTCTATGTGTGGCTCCCATCTGGCTGTGGTGTCCCTATTCTGTGGTTCTATTATGGTCGTATATGTGAGCCCAACAGCGGGCAATCCAGCAGGGATTCAGAAATATGTGACTTTGTTCTATTATGTGTTAACTTCACTTTCAACCCCTTGATCTATATTCTACATAATAAGGAGATGAAGGAGGCTCTGAAAAAATTATTCAGGACTGTGAGATTTAGTCAGAGGCATGGAAGAAATCTTTGAAGAAATTGTGTTCACAACTGAAATAATGTATGGGAAATAAATAATTAAAAGGTTGATATTCAGTTGCATTAACTGAAGTACGAAAGTATCTTTTAGGGGAGGAAGAATATATTCAATGTAATAAAATATTTATAAAGCTAACTGTATCTCTCTTCAACTTTTATTATTAGAGAAAATTTTATATTAATAGTAATTTTTTTCAAATTCATATAAAAACAATCAAAGAAAAAGTGATCATCTTGCTGTCATTCAGATCGAATACTAGTTAATAGTTTGCTGCCAATATCATACACATAAACACACGCATACACACAATCTGTCCTATACTTAAATTTATTAGTAGAATTTTTCAAAGGAATCAGTAGTTACGTATGCTAAATTTACAAAACAATGTTTAAATGTTAATTCTTGTGTCAATATTAAAAGCATGACAGGCTGTATTTATTTTCTAATGAAAGTTGACTTATCATGATATAATCACCAAGATTTAGTGAAAATATCCTTTAGTATTTAAATCCATTGATTTTTTTCCATTATATATTTATCCACTTTTAAGAATTATTCTTGGAAAGCTCTCTGTTTAGGATGAACCATGCATTGCCTTTTCCTATATGCCATTTTTGCCTGCTATAGGTTCGAATGTGATGGCCAGTGACTGGTCGGTACTGCAATGGCTGAAGTTGTTAGATTTGCTCTGCTTTATCTCAAGGACACTAGTATATTCTCAAGCAGAATTTTCTTCATCCTACAAAGAAACCCTGTACCCAGTAACAATCACTCTCTCTTCTCTCAAGTCCTGGCAGCCACTTTCCATTGCTCTGTATTTGCCTATTCTGGACATCAGATTAATGGAATCATATGATATGTTGCCTTTGTGACTGGCTCCTTTCATTTAGCATAATGCTCATTTCTGTTGTAGTCAGTACTTTATTCCTTTTTATAGCTATTTAGCATTCCTGTATATAAGAAAATATGAAAATCAGTAAAATTCATTCAATGGCTTTTTATCATCCTTACTCTTTAATTCAAGTTAATCAATCTTTTTCACTGATCAAAATGGTTTGCTTTAACATCACAGAGATTCCGTTTGTAAATGTCCTGAAGCAAGGCTACGGTGGTAACAGCCCTGTAGATTTACTCCGTTTGTAGAAAAAGAACATTTCTTATGACTGCAGAACCTGGCCAGACTTCAGATACCGACTCTTCAGTTTTGACATAGCTGCCTTCATTTCTTTGTTCCTTAGAGTGTAAATAACCGGGTTTAAAATGGGAGTAAAGATAGTGTAGAACACAGCAAGGACTTTGTCAACTGAATAACCACTGAAGGGCCACACATAGATGAAGATGCATGGTCCAAAGAAGAGTGTGACCACCGTGATGTGAGCGGTCAGCGTGGAGCGGGCCTTTGCCATGCTAGCAGAGGAGCGATTCCTAACTGTGATGAGTATCACGGTGTAGGAGACAACCAACAGGAGGAAGGAACTCATAGAAAGAAAGCCACTGTCCGCGACTATAAGTAGGCTGACAACATAAGTGTCTGTGCAGGCCAGCTTGGTCACTAGAGGGAGGTCACAGAAAAAACTATCCACTTGATTAGGGCCACAAAAAGGCAAATTAACAGTAAATGCCAACTGGCTAGTGGTATGGATGAAGCCCACACACCATGGAATAAGGACCAGAGTAATACACACACGGCGGCTCATGATTGTCATGTAGTGGAGAGGTTTGCATATAGCAACATAACGGTCATAAGCCATGGATACAAGAAGCACCATTTCACCGCCAGTGAAAAGATGAACAAAGAAAATCTGGGCCAGGCAGGCTTCAAAAGAAATAGTCTTGCACTCAACCAGAAGGTCTGCAATCGTTTTGGGGGTAGCAAAGGAGGCAACACATACGTCTATGAAAGAGAGGTTTGCAAGTAGAAAGTACATGGGGGTATGAAGGCGGGAATCTGAGGACACAGTGAGGATGATGAGAAAGTTGCCCAGCAGTATTGCTAGGTAGAGTAGTGAAAATATGAGAAACAAGAAAGGTTGGAGCTCCTGGGAATTGGAGAGTCCCAGCAACACAAATTCAGTCACCTGAGAATGATTTGTCTCATTCATTGACTTTGAAAAGACTTCTCTTTGGTTACCTGACTGGGAGAGAAACAGATATCATTCAATGTACTGAGCATGTTTTTGGTTTCCCAATTCCACTTCATACTTAAAGGATTCTAATTTCTATTTATATTTGTGTCTGAGTTTTTACACATCACCAGAAATTACATTGACAGCATAACATTGTTAAAGAAGGATGGAGGCAAGAGTCACAATGAGATGACAAAGGAGTCATTCATCCAGTTGGCATATCCAGTTACATAACTTTAAGGAACATAATCAACTAATTAAAAATGAAATTAAATATCTGAATTTTTTCTTTAGCATTACAGAAATCTAACCTAAGAATCCACTAAGATGAAATCTAAATCTAAGTCATTTTATCTGCAGTAAATGACATAATGTTTGG